ATATGGGCGGGAAAAATCTCACGCAATTAGTTAATTATGCTCGTTCAAATTGTCATGTTCCTACTCACACTGATTATAACCAAAGGCACAATGAAAGCCAAGAATATCAAAGAATAAACACTAAACTAAATGGTAAAATTTCTGATTCCGAACTAGATATTACACTTCTCAAATTAAATGTCCTCATTTTCATAAATACTTTCCATCTCATCCACTCCTAACAACAACTCCCTGCCTATCTCATTAATTTCAGGATTGACATTCATATTAATAGTTTTAGTAACCATTTTTCTCAACTCGTGTCGTTTTTCTCATCAAGTAATCACTTCTACACTATCTAAAATTAGTTTTAATGAATTATATTGTAAACTCTTTTGAAAATACTTATTTAAGTCTTCATTATTTAATCTTGTAATTTCCTTACTAATTGCTTCTCTTAATTGTTCATGAGTTCAAGAACGAGACTTCTCAATATTATGTCTAATAGTGTTAAACAGTAGTTCGGCAGGATTAAGTTGAGGAGAATGAGTAGGCAAAGAAAATAGTTTAGAATTCTTTAAGGATAATTGTTCTTCAATACTTGATAAACCTAATTCTTTCCTTTTGCAAGGAGCTCGGTGAAAAGAGGCATTATCCATCACTAAAAAATCTCCTTCCTTACCTAAAAATTCAGCCTTCTCAATAAAATCGTAAAAAACTTTGGTGTTAACTTTTTGGTCAGTTAGTTCTCAATGAACTACTCCTTTACCATTTTTAACCCAAATAATCAAAGAATAACTTCCCCCTTTGCTACCTGGGGCAGGAGAAATAGTTCTCTGACTTTTTGGAGCATAACCATAACGAGGAGCTTCGTTTAGATAGAAATGACATTCATCAATGGCTGAAAAATTGTTAAGAGGTAAATTGTGGATAATTTGTCAAAATTGTTTAACTTTGCTGATTTTTAGTTCTCGATAATGAAGAGTAATTTTCTTTCGAGTTCTCCCGTTTTTCTTTAAAACCCGAGCCACTGTTGGTCGGCTGACTAACAAACCTTTCTCTTTCAACATGTCAGCCATTTCTTGATGAGTTAGAGTATTATGTTGAGATTTATAATCAGTAAAAGAGAGTAAAAGGTTTAGATTATCACCCACTATTTTTTCTTTAATTCCTCTCTTTTGTTTAGGTTTGTTGGAAGGTTTTATATTTCGGCGAATAGTTCTTTCATTTACTCCATAAATATCGGCTAACTCTTGTTGGGTAAATCTTTGAAGGAGTTGGGTGAGAATTTGAGAGTTGGGAAGTTTAGATTTTAGCATATTATTTTTGAGAAACCTTTTTCCTTTTTAGTAAAAAGTAAATAATCATTCCCACTACTAATAAAACTATCACTATTACCAGTATTCACAATCAATCATAAGTGGGGTTGGGATTTTTAGGGTTTCCTCCGCCTCCTCCACTTTGTTGTTGGTTTTCTAATCTAGATAGTTCCTCCCTTTTCTCTTGGAGTTCCCGTTCTTGTTGGGAAGTTCTATTAACAATGGCTTCTAATTGCTGAATTTCAGTTCGTAATTGGGAAATTCGTCTCTCTCTCTCTCTCTCTCTCTCTATGAGAGTTATCATTATCATCCCTTAAAGAAACAGGTAATTCTCCATATTTGGATTTATATTCCTTTTTGAGTTCGGTTAATTTCTTTTCTACTTGTTGCCTATCATATTCACTAAAACCAGGATGATTTTTTGGAAGTTGCTTCCATGCTTTTAAACCTTTTAAAGAGTTATTTATCTTTTCTTCTAACTCTTTTTTATCACTTTCACTTCCACGAGGATATTTAATATCAACACCTAACTTATTTCCTAATCTAATCATTTCGGTTTGTTCCTCTTCGGTTCGACTAGTTTTTTCTTGTAATTCTTTCAATTTATCTTTTTGGAGTTGTAAACAACTTTTTTCATCTTTACATTTGAAAGCCGAAGGAGGGTTGTTTTCGCCTTTGGCAAAATTGCTTACTGACTTGCATTCAGGACATCGTCCTTCTTCACCTGTATAACTATTACTACTTGGTGCATTAGACCTAGCACCAGAATTAACTCCATCATAAGGGGGAATATAACAAGATTGACAAACATACCCTACCCCTTCACCACAAAGAATTGCTTCACTATCCTCATTAAAAACAGTTTGGCATGCACTACATTTACTTCGAACTTTTAAACATTCCTCCTCATCGTGAATAGGTTCGGGTTCATCGTTTTTTTGAAAAAGATACATAACTCGACATTTTGGGCAGATTATATCCCATCCCTCAAATGAACCCATACATTTGTGTATTCTTCCTTTTTGAATACTAGGTTTTTTTGCCATATTTGCTATAAAACGAAAATTAATTTGTTGTCACGGTTGTAAACATTCACTCCTTCTATTTTGCCTTTTTCTTTATCGTAATTAGTTATTAAGTTATGTCCTTGTTTACAGCCATACCAAACTGTTATTAAAAAGTTGCTTTCATCAACTATCATTGAATTTTTAAGTAAATTTTGAAACACTGAGGAATTTTCTAAATCCTCTTTGCTTTGACTTATCTTATCTTTAACTTGCTCGGTTACTTTTTCGAGCAGTATTTTTTTACTTTCTGCCATATGTCTTATATTTTACTGATTTGAAAGTAGAAATTTGATAAAATAATTGTTCCTTTCCCTTCTTAATCCATTTAATTAATTAGACAATATTCCTAGTAATATACGAAGATAAGTATCTCTTTTTCTGCAAATTTAAGGTTTTTCTGCTTTCTAAATCAAAATAAAATTTCCGTAAATCTGATGAGCAGATAAATTTTTCTCGGTCTCTTTCCTCCCCACTTCAAAATCCAAAATTATGGAATTTACTGTGAGTTCCAGTAGTTTGATTTCACTTTATCCAGAAATCTTCCTTACACCGAAAACATTTTTCTTTCATCGGTAAACCTTTTTTACTTTTGGAACGAAGAGTAATTTCAGTTAGCAACTCTTCATCTGAAAATTTTTTTAGTTCCTTACTCTTTGGCATATTCACTTTTTAAAAATTGGACATTTAATGTGAGAAATGTAATACC